AGTCAAACAGACCATAAAGCAGGGGATGCTTTAGGGGCGGGGCTACATGGTGATTGACAGGTCTCTACATCACTCCTCCTCAGTCCAGATATGGTCACTTCCTATTCACTGGTTGCGGAAAAAAACAACATGACGACGACCGCAATCCAAGATGGCGACGGCCTTTTGTGAACCAATACAAAGGAACCGAGGATGTGACTAATTGTGGAGAAAGTGATTTAACTGTTATACTCTTAACGGCCACTTTATTAGTTACATTTTTGTTTGATGTTCAACAGAACTATGACCTCAATGCTAAAATATATTTGAACACCTGAAATGTATAGATGCATCATACAAATAGACTTTATGGATGAGCAGATGTACAGATTGTACAGGTGTACCTAATAAAGTGGCCACTTCGTGATTGCATTCATTTTTTTTTAATCCCATTTTGAATGGCTTGTTTTGTTTCAGGAGCTTGACGATTTCCGCACCGGTGAGGCAAAGTTTTTCCGCAGCATTCAAGTGGATGACTCAAATATTTTGAATTGGCAAGGGCTTCTTGTTCCTGTGAGTATTGACTTCAGTTGCTAAATAATAACTCGTGTTGTCCCATCATCAATGTTTTTATGAACTCTACAAACTCTGTTGTTCTCTCCAAAAAGGATTGTCCTCCATATGACAAAGGAGCGTTTCGGATTGAGCTCATCTTCCCCGCCGAGTATCCCTTCAAACCCCCAAAGGTCACGTTCAAGACAAAGATCTACCACCCCAACATCGACGAGAAGGGCCAGGTCTGCCTGCCCATCATCAGCGTCGAGAACTGGAAGCCAGCCACCAAAACTGAACAGGGTGAGGCTTCTTAAAGGAACAGTGTGTACGATTTAGTGGCCTCTAGTGGTGAGGTTGAACTATGGTGGCCTGCAGGTACAGATAGGGTATCTTTTGGGTTTTAATTACTACAAGGAGCTACTTTTATCAGTGTGCTATTAGTACTTTTACTTAATTAAGGATCTGAATACTTCTAACTTAAAATGGCAACAAAATGCACAGAAACAAAGTCCTCACAGCTGTGAGTGACATCTGAAGTTCCACGGGTATCATAAACATAAACAAAGAGTAAGTGGTGCTTATGTGTGTCTTCTTTGCCCCCCCCCCCCCCCCCTCCAGTGATCAGCAACCTCATTGCTCTGGTGAACACCCCCCAGCCGGAGCATCCTCTGAGGGCCGACCTGGCGGAGGAGTACAGCAAAGACCGAGCGAAGTTCATGAAGAACGCCGAGGAGTTTACAAAGAAACACGGTGAGAAGCGACCCACAGACTGACAGCGCGACACGGACGCCCAACTCCCGTTTGTCCCGCCCCCTTTTCTGTTCTGTTTCCTGTTTGAAGAGCCCCCCCTCACCACACAGCGACGCCCTGTTCTGGCACACCTGCTTGTTTTTAGCACTCTTCAACCTTCATAGAGGCTTGTTTCTGTTGGACTTCGCCAAAAAACCTAAATATGCAGGACTTTTTGGTGAATATGCAGCCTCCGGCCTCTAGGTGTCACCTTTTGAGTTGTTTTGATTTCTTTCTACAGATTTCTTTTTAGAAAAAAATAAAATAATAAAGTTGTCAGAGGTGGCATCCTGGAAAGTAAAACATCAGAAATGATAATTGAAAATTAAAACAAGAAGCTGTTCTGCTTACTTAAATGTTTCCACGTTAATCAGTAGCTTACACCTTTTGTTAAAAGATGCACAGCTACTCTAAAGCTGTTGTTTGTATCTTGTTTTCTTTGTTTACCCCCCCCCCCCCTTAAGATACACTGTACTTTGTGAAATCACCTGTTGCAGAACATGAAGATTAAAGTTTGTCACTGATGCAGAATTCCACACGTAAACTCAGCCATTTGTGAAAAATACAATTCCTGTGTTTATAGCTTATAGTATTTATAGCTTATAGTGTTTATAGCTCATATTGTTTATAGTTCATATTGTTTATAGTGCCAGTGAGCTTTATGTTATTACAGTTTGTAGATTAACTACTGGATGTCAGACGCAGTTCACAATTTATTTGTCTTTACACGGTAAACGCTGCTCAGTTCTGCAGCTTTAAAATAACATTCTGACCAACTCGTGCTCACCTGACTCATCACAATGTTTTCATATTAAGTACCAGATCTACAAAGCACTGATTGGTTCTAGTACTGCAGCAGTCAAACGGCTTTAATTGGCTTCTTTCCTCCATCAATAAACACAATGTAATCAGCCAGTTAATGTAATCTATTACCTGATGAAGCTCTACGTCTTCACACGCATGAAGGCGATACATCCAGCTGCAGGAGGACGGGTCGTTACTGAATAAAGATTTGTGATGCTTAAACAAAACTATTGTGTTTATTAGCCTCGGATCTTAATCACCCGAAAATATTACTTTATTTACAGTATGACACGGATCCACGCTAAAATATGATTTAAAGTGACTCCTATTATTTGTCTGTCTTTGAAAATGCATACTAACGTACTACATACTCAGTATGTACTTGTACACATACTATGATTCTACCTGCAGACTACAACGATCCTTCTATTTGGATAAACGGACCACATATTGAGAATCTCAATCAGTCCTGAACACACATAAAAACATTAATAAAGTGACGAGCCCGGCTTAAAATCTCATTTCAAAGCACCCAGATGCAATGCATTATGGGGCATTGAGTGTGTGCAGTATACTCAGATATTCCGGATAAAGTATTATTCATCCGGGCATTTCTCACGTACAGAGTCCACATACTATGTCATACTCAGTTTTATGTCATACTTCGTATGTTAGTATGCCTCTGACTTGAAACTACTGTTCCCATAATGCTTTGGGTGATGTAAACAGGAAGTATGATGCCATGGAGTCGGTCAGTTAGCTGTAGGCCAGTAGCAGTGGTGGAATGTAACAAAGTACATTTACTCAAGTACAATTTAGAAGTACAAAGCAACAGAAAAGTACAAATCTGTGCAAAGTTTTCATTGAAGTTTCTCTACCCTGAAAATTAAAAAAAAATGCTTCTAAATTATTATAATTTAATTTTATAATTACTAGCTGTGTGTATGCTAGCTATTAGTGTAAGCGTTTCACAAGCACAACGCAGCACAGTTAAAGTGTTTAATACTGTTGGCTTTATTGAAGTCAGGGTTACAGTGAAGACCTTAAACTTGAGGTAGAATTCCTGCCTAACTGTAGTTCATGTCTAACATTAGGTCAACCTTAAGATTTGCAATCTTTGTAGGGAGGAATAAAGACGCCACCTCCTCTGTAGCGGATGTCGGTCTGAGGTTGTTAACACTAATGCCACCATGAGTCCAGCTTTTCTACTTCCTGAACTGAGTGATGGGAGCTGGGACTTTGATGTCCTGTCCTTTCTCCAGCTTCTTCTCACACTCAATCAGGTGGTTGACCCCATCGACCAGCATCTGGACCAGCTCCACCTAAACAAGCACACCACAAAGCTCATTACTGCAACGAAATATTGGCTTTCTAGAGTCTTGAGATGCCAAAAACCTTTGATGATCGGAGGCATAGTGATGAATCATTTAAAAGACAATATGATCGATCCTCACCTCAGATTTGCCCAGACGGTCGTTGTTGGAAATGTCAAAGGTGTCTCCGGTAGCAGCCGTGTCCACTCCACCTGTGCCTCTCTTCTGCAGCCGCAGGTTGTCCAGCATTTTGGAGAAGCGTGGGTCCTGCAGAGGGATTTCAATCAGTCGTAATGTTGCTGCAACTACAGTCAGATGCCACTTATTTACAAGAGTACACTACGCAAAAGTTAATATTGATTGATCCTGTGAAGGTTGTGGGCTAAAGTAAAGAGATAAGGGTGGTGCTATTCTGTGAAAAGACCCAAACCAACAGTGTGTTCGTCCGTCTCACAATACTTTCTGCTTCCGCGAACCCGTCTGTGGCTTTAATAAAGTCGTAGTGATCTCCTAAAGCAGCTGCTCACTGTAGGTGTTATCAAACAAACAGGAGGAAAGGGTGCATTTGTTGGGGACTATTTTCAGTGGCGGATGAATCCACATTTGGCTGGAAGCCGAGTTCACACGGTCCAACAAGTCCTCCACCTCTGGAACACGTTGAGAAAAACACAATGGCACTAATGGCTCCTGATGTTCCACTTTTTATTTTATTTAGACGTGATAAACGACGCGTTACGGCATCGACCCGTCAAACACAGAAGAGAACGACGGTGACGTTGGATTCACTGGTGATGAGTTATGGGGTTGTTTTACATTAATCTGAATATGAACGGCTGCATGTAAACAGGGACATTAGTGGATTATTCATTTTCATTAGCCATGTAAACAGTATTTATTTGGTGAATGTAAACGTAGTCATTGATCTGTTTCAATGGAGCTCTACGAGGAAGCTTGTGGGGTCAAAAGCTCCAGAACAGCCACTAAATGGTACCTTATAGTGTGTGTGTGTGTGTGTGTGTGTGTGTGTGTGTGTGTGTGTGTGTGTGTGTGTGTGTGTTACCTTGCTGAGTTTTGGCAGGCGTACGTGCACGCCCGCCCTGAGGCCGGTGCCCAGGTTGGAGGGACATGTGAGGATGTAGCCCAGACGCTCGTTCCACATGAACTCCCAGCCTCTCTCCTGGATCAGGTGCTCCACCTGCAGGACGTCACATGACGAAGAGGTGACCGGTCATGTGATGCATGTATCGTCATAATAAACGGAAGCGTCCTTGACGAGCTCCAAGTGTAACACAAAATAAAATTTAAAAATGCGTCGTCATAGGGAGACACATACGGGGATCTGAAGATACCAGAACCTGAAATATTTGTATGGATATATCTGTTCTTTGATTATTATTTGGGTAATTTAAATATTTGGTTTCAGTGAAAATAAAGGTTTGACAGATTTATATTCAGCTGCAGGGAGAAGGAAACTCCAAGCAGATACATATATAATTTATTTATAATATATTATAATTATATATTTATAAGAAAATATAAAAAATTAAATCTCTTTAACAAATGACAATATAAAATGAAACTTTTTTGGGGCATCTCGTCTTGAATTAAAATATAAACATCTCTAAAATACTCATTGGCTTCTCTGAAAGTACACAAGTACTGCCACAGACTCTGCTGTACCTTCTTCAGTCCACTGCAGAACCTCTCAAACACTCTCTTCATGTTGCCTCCCTTCTCCATGGAGATGACCCTGGTGTGGTCCTCCTCGTTCACCCAGATCAGGAAGGTCTTCTCATTGTTGTGCCTGAAGAGAAGCAGCATGAGACACTAAATAAAGAGCTCTTCAGCGCTGCAGGATGAGTCATAAAAGGACCTCACTGTGCAGACACTTTGATATTCATGCTGCTCGTCTGTGCAGAATTAATACGAGAGAGAAACACAAAAGTATTTCCTGGTGGTATTTGTTTTCCCACCAGCATGCGTCAAAATCAGGGAAATAACTGAACGAGTCTATTGAACTACACAGGATGTAGAAAGATGTATTCAATATATTCAGTGGTGGAAGAAGTATTCAGATCCTTTACTTGAGTAAAGTACTAATAGCACACTGTGAATATACATACTATGTAAATGTACAAGATGTACCTCTGAGATGTAGTAGAGTAAAAAGTACAAGATGTACCTCTGAGATGTAGTAGAGTAAAAAGTACAATATGTACCTCTGAGGTGTAGTACAGTAAAAAGTACAATATGTACCTCTGAGCTGTAGTACAGTAAAAAGTACAAGATATACCTCTGAGATGTAGTACAGTATAAAGTACAATATGTACCTCTGAGATTTAGTACAGTATAAAGTACAAGATGTACCTCAGATGTAGTACAGTACAAAGTACAACATGTACCTCTGAGATGTAGTAGAGTAAAAAGTACAAGATGTACCTCAGATGTAGTGGAATAAAAGAATAGAGCTGCATAAAATGTAAATACTCTAAGTAAAGTACCTTAAATGTTGTACTTAAACACAGCCCTGAAGTAAATGTACTTCCGTTATCTTCCACCACTGAATACATCCTGAACCCTGAACCAGGACGTTGAAGTCTTACGTCACAGCAGACATGCAGCAGAGCTGAACGAACCCTACCAGATGCCTCTGGCGTCCGGCCAGTCTCTGGCCATAAAGGCACATGTCAACAACGGAGAGACAGGCTTGTCAAACAGGAAGTGGTCCTAAAGGTGGGAGGAGTCAAAGGAAGACACAGAGACAGGTATAAGACAGAGGACGTTAGGGAGGATAACTTCCTCTACTTGGTGAATAAACTTCTATATGAGAGGAGAGAACAGAGGGAAGGTTTGGGAGGACTCTGGAGGAGGAGGTGGGCGTCGGTCTAAATGCATTGAGCTGCATTTCCTCTCATTACTGAGCGGCGCGAACATCTTACCAGATGCCCCTGGAGTCGGGCCAGTCTCGGGCCATGAAGGCCGAGGTGAGCAACGGAGACACGGGCTTGTCGAACAGGAAGTGATCCTTGTGTGGCGCAGCGTGAAATAATCAGAACAGGAAGGTCAATAAAAGAGAACCGACATCAGCCGAGGGGCGACTTACTCAAATGTTTATACTGTGTGTTTTTAGGAGGGGAACTCCAGCAGTTTAGTCATTTAGTATTTGCAGATTGGTTTTTGAAGCCTCAACTTCAGCATTTTGTCCGTCGCCATCTTTGTTTTAAGTAACCAGAAGTGGCACGAGAGGGTGGAGCTAAGTACGACCAAACACTGAGTTTTTAGGCGACCATAAATGTTGCAATTAACTTTCATGAAGCGAAAACACAGTGATTTCATCATAAAACTTTAACCCTTTCACAAACAACTCCCAGACCATAAAGCATCCCCTGCGTTATGGTCTGTTTGACTCTAAATGGACCACAATGTACTAAATGAACATCATGCTGTATTGAAGAAGACTTGAAACTAGAGATTGAGACCATAAACTCATGTTTACAATGTTTACTGAGGTAATAAATCAAGAGAGAAGTAGAGTCATTTTCTCATAGACTTCCATACAACCAGAGGAGTCGCCCCCTGCTGGACACTAGAGAGAATGCAGCTTTAACACGTGAAGCATCGGGTTCACTTTTCAGTTATGACCTTTAATTATAGCGCCCCCCCCCCCCCCCCATCAGGCCGATTGGGGTCATATTTGTTGAGCGGCATTTGCACACAACTTCCAATCATTGGTGAAAATGTCTTGTATCTACGATATACCATCTCACTGGAATTTGCGCAAACATTTTGGGTCGAAAAAAATAAAAAAATCAGCTTAAAAACAAGGTTTCGCGCTCCTTCTGTGCTTGAACTCCTAAAAATCCGCCCAAAAAGCTGCTCCATCAAGTCAAATGTGGGAAGTAATCAAATATTCAGAGGAATACTTTAAAGTAAGTTGTTCTTCCACACCAAGTATGATTCATCAAAGATCGCAGGAATCTGGGAAGCAAATTATTTAGCAGTTTGCGATGAAACTCACGTCGATGAGCTGCTGCTGCTCCTTGTCCGTCATGTCTCCCAGGCTGTAGTAGCGTCCGGCCAGGTCTCCCTTCAGGCCGGCCAGGGCCGTCACCACCACGCGCTCCACCTCGCGGCGCTCCGCCCTCGAACAGGCCGGGGGGAGGCTCAGCCCGCGGATACTGCGGCCGGTCCGGACACGGGTCGACAGGACGTAGTTCTCGTCAAACACGCCATTGGTGATCTGGAGGGTCGAGGATACCGGCGAGAAAGAGAGGCTGTTGTTTAAAACACGGAGGAAGGGGTGGATGAGGGATCATGCGTTGGTGGCTGGGTGTTGTGGTGTAAACACCTTGGAGGCGTCCAGGTCAGTGGGGTGCTTCATGGTTTTGGGGTCGTAGCCGTTGTGCCGGTCTTTGATGATGGGGTCCAAGAGTTCAGCAAACACCTGGAACAGAGCGCAGAGTCAACGGTTTGGTTTTTAGTTCCAGACGCGTTTAAAAACCCCAGTGGTAATTACACCCGTGAACAAATCATTTATTCAACTCTAGGAGACGTTGAAACGTATATCTCACCTCGTAGCTCTCCTCATCACCAGCCACACAGCCCACCGTCTTGATGAAAGGGTGGCCCGGGTTGTCCACTCCGGTTTGGATGCTCTGGTCCAGGGTCCAGTTGTTGGGGGTGACCTTGTCCCTCAGTTTGGCATAAATGGCCGGAGTCAGAGCCGCCGCCATGCAGTTGCTGTGTTTCCTCAGGTCGGGGAAGTCGGAGCTGCAGGAGAGGAAGAGGAGGAACGATTTGAGTTCATTATGAATTGTGTTTAACCTGTTTTATCTACTTCTCTGGGTTAATTTTTATCGTTTCATTTATTTCCATGCACAAATATGTCTCAATGCTGGTATGTGGAAGCTTTTATACGTCTCTGAGGAGCACTTTGGTGCAATGCGGGTAGAGTACAGTGGCTTCATCAGAGCTTGTTAGCTGTGGGCTAAAAAGCCAAAACAATGAGCTTAAAGACGCCAAAATGCTTCAAAGAACTACAGAGTCGGTTATAATTCTTTATACGAACAAAGCTTCTCTTTCCAGAAGTCAATATTGCAGCTTTAGGTCTTTAGCTTTAGCTCTGCCACGCCTCCTAAAATTAAAATAAACTCCTGGCATATTTGGGACACATCCACTCACTGGTCATTACTCTGATTGTACATAAAGTGACCTGCAGTAGTGGTGAAGACGAGACGGGGGAGACAGAAAGGGTGGGGGGGGGGGGGGGGGGGGGGGGCAAAACAATGGGGGG